GGTGAGAGTGTCTTTTCATCAATTGCTCCACTAGTTTTTGATGGAGAAAACTATCAGGTTTGGGCTGTCAGGATGGAAGCCTACATGGATGCATGTGATCTCTGGGAGGCAGTAGAGAAGGATTATGAAGTTTCTCCTTTACCAGGCAATCCTACCATGACTCAGATCAAAACTCACAAAGAGAAGAAGACCAGGAAGTCGAAGGCGAAGGCGTGTCTCTATGCTGCAGTATCTCCTACTATTTTTTTCAGAATCATGACTCTTAGTTCGGCTAAGGCAATCTGGGACTTTCTGAAAAAAAAATATAATGGAGATGAAAGAATTCGAGGCATGAAGGTCTTAAACCTGGTGAGGGAATTTGAAATGCAAAAAATGAAGGAATGTGAGACTATTAAGGAGTACTCAAATAGGCTTATCAATCTGGCAAATAAGGTAAAGTTACTTGGCGCCGAACTTTCTGCCAAAAGAATTGTGCAGAAAATTCTTGTTACTTTACCTAAGAAGTTTGAAGCAACAATTGCTTCGCTGGAAAATACAAAAGATCTGTCAAACATTAGTTTGGCGGAACTTTTAAACTCTTTGCAAGCACAGGAACAAAGAAGATTGATGAGGAACGAGGGAGCTATTGAAGGAGCTTTGCAAGCAAGGCAACTATTCAACCCTGGCAGCAAAGGCAAGAAGTAGAAGGGCAAGAAAAGTTATTCTACGTCAACAGAAGCTGCTGCAAGCCTGCAACTGATAATAGCAATAACAACAAAGGTGGAAAATATCCACCTTGCCAGCATTGCGGGAAGAGAAACCATCCACACTTCAAATGTTGGAGAAAACCTGATATGAGATGCAGAAAGTGTCATAAACTTGGACATGCTGAGATTATTTGCAAAGAGAAAGGACCACAACATTCAAATGAAGCACAAATTGCAGAACAACAAGAAGAAGAGCAATTGTTTGTGGCGACATGTTTTGCAAGCAAAAGTTCAAGTGAAAGTTGGTTAATTGGCAGTGGTTGTACAAATCATATGACTCATGATGAGGAAATTTTCAAAGTGTTAGACAAATCTGTAACCTCTAAAGTCAAAATTGGTAATGGTGATTATCTTCCTGCCAAAGGGAAAGGCACAGTAGCTATTGAAAGTTACTCAGGTACAAAGTTAATTACGGATGTGCTCTTTGTTCCTGAAATTGATCAAAATTTGTTGAGCGTAGGGCAATTTTTGGAGAATGGTTTCAAGCTTATTTTTGAGGACAGGATGTGTGTGATCTTTGATCCAAAGGGTCAAGAAGTCTGTCGAGTTAAAATGAGAGGAAGAAGTTTTTCCTTTGATCCAATGGAGGAAAATTTGGCTGCCTATCCAAGCCATGTGATAACTGCNGATGTATGGCACAAGAGACTCGGGCATTTCCATCAGAGGGCACTCTTTTACATGTCGAAGAAAGATATGGTTCAGGGACTACCACCTATGGAGGAGGAACTCGCAAGCTGCAGCACATGTCAATTGGGAAAGCAAAGCAGGATGCCTTTCCCGAGGCAACCTGGAGAGCATCAGTGAAACTTCAATTAGTCCATACCGATTTGTGTGGACCACATAAGATTGCTTCTCTCAAAGGAAGTAAATATTTCATAGCATTCATTGATGATATGACAAGAATGTGTTGGATTTATTTTCTCAGGTTCAAATCTGAAGTACCTGAAGTGTTCTGGAAATTCAAAGCTTTGGTAGAAAATCAAAGTGGTTGCAGGATACAAATGCTGAGATCAGATAATGGTACTGAGTACACATCAGATCAATTTGAAAATTTCTGTGAAAATGCAAGAATTGAGCATCAACTCACTGCCCCATATACTCCGCAACAGAATGGGGTTAGTGAAAGGAAGAATAGGACGATAATGGAGATGTCGAGGTGCTTGTTACATGAGAAGGGCCTACCAAAGAATTTATGGGCAGAAGCAGCTAACACTGCTGTTTTTTTGCTGAACAGGTTGCCTACAAAAGCAGTGGAGGGAAAGACACCTTTTGAGGCATGGCATGGGTACAAACCTTCCTTAAAAAACTTAAAGATCTTCGGTTGTTTGTGTTTCTCTTATATTCCACAGGTTAAGAGAGACAAGTTAGACAAGAAAGCTGAACCTGGAGTGTTTATTGGTTATAGCACGGTCTCTAAAGCTTACAGAATTTTGCAGCCTCATACAGGAAAAATTGTGATAAGCAGAGATGTATTTTTTATGGAGAATGAGCAATGGGACTGGGAAGAAGATAAGCAGAGAGGAACGAGGTTGCTCTCTGACATATACCAGAGATGCAATGTGGCTATTTTAGAGTCGTCTGGATTTGAGGAAGCCATTTCATATCCTAAGTGGCAAGCTGCAATGCAGGAGGAGCTTGCAATGATTGAGAAAAACGAGACCTGGCAGCTTGTGGAAAAGCCTCAAGATAGGAAGATCATTGGTGTGAAGTGGGTTTACCGCACTAAATTAAATGCTGATGGTTCTGTTAACAAGCTCAAGGCTAGGCTTGTTGTGAAAGGTTACTCACAGATTTTTGGAGTTGATTATTCGGAAACATTTGCTCCAGTTGCTAGACTTGATACTATAAGATTGTTACTAGCTATTGCTGCTCAAAAAAGTTGGAGAATCTTTCAGTTAGATGTCAAGTCAGCTTTTTTAAATGGTTTTCTGCAGGAGCAGATTTATGTAGAGCAGCCTCAAGGTTTTTCTGTAAGGGGACATGAAGATAAAGTTTATCTATTGAAGAAAGCCTTTTATGGTTTAAAGCAAGCTCCAAGGGCTTGGTACAGTCGAATTGATGAGCATTTGCAAGGCTTTGGTTTTAAGAAAAGCCTAAGTGAATCAACTCTCTTTATTAGAAAAAGAGATTCTCATATTGTGATTATATCACTTTATGTTGATGATCTTCTTGTAACAGTCAACAACCTTGAAATGATCGAGGACTTCAAGGCAGAGATGAAGAAAGTATTCGAAATGACAGACTTGGGAGAAATGTCTTACTTTCTTGGAATGCAGATTCATCAAACTCAAAATGAAGTGTTCATTTGCCAAAAGAAGTATGCAAGAGAGATTATGAAGAAGTTCAAAATGGAAGATTGCAAGCCTATGAACACTCCAATAAATCAGAAAGAGAAGCTGGTCAAGGATGATGGTAGTAACAAGGTTGACGAGGCTAGTTACAGAAGTATGATTGGATGTCTTATGTACCTCACTGCCATTAGACCTGGTATTCTTCAGGCAGTAAGTGTATTGTCCAAATTTCTAAATTTTGCGAGTGAAACGCACATGAAAGCAGCCAAAAGAGTGATAAGGTACGTCAAGGGAACTTTAGACTATGGTGTTAAGTTCTCTAAGTGTCAGACTTTCAAGTTGCAAGGTTATTCTGATAGTGATTGGGCAGGTTCAGTTGATGATATGAAAAGCACTTCAGGTTATTGTTTTAGCCTTGGTTCAGGATGTTTTTCATGGTGCTCAAAGAAGCAGGAAATCGTAGCGCAGTCAACTGCAGAAGCTGAATTCATTGCTGCGACTGCATCAGTTAATCAAGCTCTTTGGCTAAGGAAAATCCTGTTAGATCTTGATCTGGAGCAACAAGCAAGCACAGAAGTGTTTGTGGATAATCAGGCAGCCATAGCAATTTCTCATAATCCAGTTTTTCATGGTAAAACCAAGCATTTTAATATCAAATTGTACTTTCTTAGGGAAGTGCAAGAAGGAGGAGAGGTGAAATTGATGTATTGCAGGTCAGAAGATCAAATTGCTGATCTGTTTACAAAGCCATTTCATGTTAATAGATTTGAGTTTCTTAGAAGCAAACTTGGAGTCTGCAATTCTTGAGGCAGGAGGAGTGTTGCAGTTGCCTCAAAAATTGCAATGTTGTTGCAGTCAATAAAATCAGGAGCTTAGTTAGGCTGCAGAAGTTGAGGAATACACACCAGATTGTGTTGACTCTCTTGCAGATATTTAGGATTCTGTTTTTCTTTTTGAAAGTTTGTTAGCTATCTTCAAGTTCTATTCCTCCTTTTTAGTTAGCAGTAGAGTTGTTTAACATATTTTTAGCAACATTTATTGATAGTCAGTTACTGACTTTATGTATTTAAGCAAGCTTTCATCATCAATAAAAATACAGATTTTCCAAATCACTTTACTACTCTTTGCTGTCAATAGTATTAACACCAACAGATTTGCTATATTCCCTATTTTAGCCTTTTCAACCTAATGTATTATTGGCCATTATTTGACAAAGTATTTGAGAATTGTCGAACTAATATTGGTCAAGAAATTCCAAAGACTATTGTTATAAATCGGCATTGTCTTCTCAAATTAGATGCACCTCTTCACAAATTGAGAAACATTTCTAGTGTTTTTTCTCTTGTATTAAAGTAGAGCGTATGGGGAGTTAGGTATTAGGAAACACTTATGTGAACTTATTTGTGAGTGCAATGTATGAAGTTATTCTTTCGGGATATTTTCGGACTAATCAAAGTTATATCGATAATTTTGTACCCTCTTTTTGATACCTATTGATATAGCGGAATTGCTCCTTTCTTCCCATGGGCTAGGTCTTATTGAGAGAAACATGAATATTTGTACCTCCTTTATTTCCTTTAGGTTACCATTATTATCAACTTTTGTCTAATTATGCACAACCCTAACTCTAAAGCATTATACACTACCCGAACTCCCAATCCTAACACATACAATGAAAATTGCGAAGGATTATTTCTGAACTTACAGCTCATCATCGCTAGCAATCAATCAGCATCGTGAAAATATTACAAAATTTATATCAATACACGATTAACTGAGAGAAATCCATGTCAGATTCAATTTGTAGCATATGAAATGCACGATAACAGAAAACTGAAGGAATCATTAATTAACAAAAAGTAAAACAAAACAATAATTATAAAGAAAAGAAACTCCTATAATAATCAGGATTAAATAAACAAATTAAAAATATAAAAGATTTAAGGAAAACGGAAAAAAATACCAATTTTTTGGTTTCAATTCCTTTCTGATGACAACCGATCACTTCTCCCTCCTCTGCCATTTTTTTTCCTCTCTTTTTTGGTTTCAAGTTTTTAATGATTTTTGTTTTCCTAAATTCGTTGAAAACAGAAAGTGCTTGTTCTTGTTTTCCGGAGCTCTTCTGCCTCGCTTTATATAGGAGTACTGGATGTTCAATTACAAATATATCCCCAGAAGCCTAATTGTTAAAAAAAAAAAAAAAAAAAAATCAACAACGAAGGAGCCTAAATTCAATTCTATTATTTGACCATCATTTTGAAAGTTTGACTTGACCGTTATAGTCCCTCCGGTCCAAAATAAGTGATTTTTTTGGATGTTTTCATACAAATTAAGAAATTTACATTTTAGCATTAATTAGCAATGGAATTAACCATATTAACCTTTACTATCTCACATAAACACTCCTAACACATATTCCAATACCATTTACTTCAAGGACAATGTAGGAAAAAAAATAATTATTTCATTCTTGAAATCTGGAAAAATCACTTATTTTGAACCACAAAAAAAAGGCCAAAAAATCACTTATTTTGGACCGGAGGGAGTATTTGTTAAGCTTTTTACATTTATAATTATTTATTTAAGCTTTTGACATTTAGGAAAATACTACAAAACATCCCACTCTAGTTCCAACTGAAATCTCCTTTGACTGGGTACAGGTCTTAAATAAAAACTAAACCTTTTGGGACTTATCTTTTGAATATGCTGTAAGATTTCTGTGGTTTTAAAAGCATATTGTTAAGGATAAAATATAAAATTTATAATAAAATTAGTTATAAAATGATATCTTTCTTATTAACGAGCAAACAATTCCGTATAGAATGGAACAGAGAAAAGCATATTTTTATTCTCTTGAAAGTAACATCCATTCTATTTCGGTCATCACATTATTCTAAAAGAAGATGAGTGCAGAATATTTTTATCTTATTTTTTTTGGTCAAAGGAAATATATATATATATTTAAGTAAGGCGAAATGGCTTCCTGGCCACTTAAATTTGTAGGGCTTTTGAAAGCCGATACACGAACTTTCGATTTTTCCATTTGAACACTCAAACTTGACAAAATGTGTACTAATAAACCCTTTTGACCAGAGCGTGTATACCAATTGCGCTGACGTGTATATCAATTGCGCTGACATATAAAACACGTTATGCTAAGCTATTTATGTCTTGCCATGTGTTATTTGTGGGTTCTATTTTTAAATATAAAATCAGAAAAAAAAGTTACAAATACAAAAAAGGAAAAAAGAAAAGAAAAAATACCGAAAAACGGCCCCCTTCTTCTTCGTTCACCCTCCTCCCTTCCTTTCTTTACTTTTCTGAAATTAGCCTTTTCCGGAATCTTGAGCTAGTATGCCCCTGATGGAGCAAAGAAATACTCCAGTCAGTTGTAGCGAACTCCATTTGCAAAAGCCTTGGTAAACAGTGAAGAACCACTAGAAAAAATGAAATGTGACCATCAGCAGATTTTGGCTATCAGTTTGTGAAAATCTTGACAAGCTTGTCTTAAGAATTTCATGTAAATATGTGTTGACTGCAGCAGGATAGTCGGGAACACTGATGGCTAGTGGTTGCTCTGCTCTGTCAGTGGAAATTCAACTAAGATAATGAATGAGGATCTCTCCGCCTCTCGAAGATACTGGACAGTTCCATTCATGATTTTAACAAGTTTCTGGCTGATGTATATGGGTGGAATTTTGCTGGAAGACGAAAGAATTGGAGGGGGGAGGAGAGAGAAGAGGAAGGGAAAAGTTTTTTTTTTCTTTTTTAATTTTTTTATTTATACTTTATTCTAATTCTAATTTTTTTATTAAAAACAATATCATTCACGCGCCTTGGCAGCGTGATTTGCACACAGTTTAGCCATGTCAGCTTCAGTACTTCCACATAGGCATGGTCAACGGTCAAAAGTGTTTATTAGTACTCATTTTGTCAAGTTTGAGTGTTCAAATGGGAAAATCGAAAGTTTGTGTATCGGCTTTCAAAAGCTCTACAAATTTAAGTGCCCAGGAAGCCATTTCGCCTTTAAGTAACTAGGTATTACATTGCAGATTACTGTTTAAATTGGGGTACTGCACCCCTAAAACAGCCATATTTTGTTCAATTGCATCAATGTTACATGCCAAAAAAATCCTAACTACTTCAGTTCCTAGGATGTCTGCTCAAAATATATTATTTGCAAATATCGGAGAAACTGCTAGTGTGGTAGTTCTACCCAAAAAGTTTGAAATTGCTGCCTCCTTTGTCAGTGCATCGGCCATCCTATTTTGCTAATTTGCTCCCTGTAGCTGTGTCTCACCACCACCTTATCCATTAGAATATTTTTATCTATCACGCATAATCTCACACTATATTTTTTATTAAAGAATAAAATAAAGCAAAAGAATTTTAGATGGACCGCCATGAAGCTCAAAATGACATAGGAGCATAATATTGGGTACCTAAAAAATTAGAGATGGATCTAATTGTAGTAATAATACTTATTTACACTGAAAACAAAAAGAATTAATCAATAAAATGAGTAGAATTCCTGGAGACAAAGGAGAGGATACAAAGAGATAGAGAGAATATGAATTGAATCAACCCCTCATTTGTTTGCACTTAATGGAGGTCTGAATCTTAATTATTCAGATCTCAGACATTAAGTGCGTTTGTTTTTAAAGTCTGAATGTTAGTTATTCAGATCTTAATCATTAAGTGTGTTTGTTTTTTTTACTTCACAACCACTTAATGGGTCTGAATAGGTCCGTACGATTAAGATCTATAACAGAGACTTGATTTCATTAAGATGCTATCACATAGTCATTATTAACTGCCGCCACCGCCTATCATTATCAACTTCCACCATGACGACACCACCACCACCTCCACCACCACCACGCCACCATCATCCTCAATCATAGCCGCCACCATTATCGACCATCACCACCCACTATCCCCACCACTCCGACCACCATCATTCTCCCCCACAAGCAACACTCATCCACCTCAACTACCACAACTGACCACCCCATCACCATCAACAACCACAACCGGCACTGCCCATCATTATAACCTACCACACTCACCCACCACCTTCCTCAGTCACAACTACTACCACCACTCGCCATTATTAACTATTACCAACCACCACCTCCATCCTCAATCATAATCGCCACCACTACCAATCACTACTAGCTACTAGCATGAACCACCATCGTCAATCAAAACTACCACCAACTACTGCCTCTAGTCCACATTCACCCGTTAGCCATCACCACCAACAACTATCATATTTTAAAAAACTATATAATTTACTGATAGAAATTTAGATTAGTTATTTCATTTGAATTTTATGTTTATTAATTTTCAAATAAAGATAAATTTTATACATTCAGATGTTAAAAATCAAACAGTCTTAATTATTTCTATTCAGATCTTAATACACATCTTAATATATTCAGATGTGTATTCAGATTTAGATGTCTTAATCTTAATACACATCTTGATATTCAGATGTGTATCCAGATTCAGACGTCTTAATCTTAAAAAAAAACAAATGAGGCATAAGTCGACGAAAGATTCAAAATGAAAATTAGTTCGAATATTTCAAATACATCACTATCTATTTTTGCAGTGTAAACAAAAAATCATAAATTAGAAAAATATCACAACAAATAAAAATTTGAACCTTGGGCCTCAAACTGAAATTGGGCCCTGAGTGTATTGGGCTTCTTTCTCAGTCGGTATTGGTGTATTGGGCTTGGTCTGAATTATCAACTAACACTACCGGCCAGAAATTGGGAGGAAGTGTAGACAAACCCGAATTTTGAGCCATCATTGAACTTGTACCCGCATAATACAAAAATTTATAATTTACCCACTTTATAGTATATTCTACAGGTCGCGTCTGAAGTAGAAAAAAAAATCGGTTAGTTTTTGCATTTGAAGTTCTCCTCGTGACCGTGCAAACTTCAGATGCAAAGTTACAAATTTCGGTTAACGTTCTTGCCCCGGTAGTGCAAACTTCGACAATCGCGTCTGAAGTTATGTAGTGTAATCTTCAAATTGCAAATATTACACTTAAGACTAATTAGTCTAAAGTGCAGCCAAATGTTTTTTGGGAGAAATTCAAAAATAGCTAGATTTATAAGTGGTAATTGAAAAATAGCCTCAGTTTCAAGGAATCGAAATTTAGCCACTTTATTTAAAGATAAATCTGAACAAAAAATACTGTTCAAAATCCGGAAATATTTCAGCATAATATGCTGCAGTTCGAACTTTTTACATGTAGGAACTTCTAGCATAACATGCTGGAGTTTCATAATGTGCTGGAGTTCCAACATAATATGCTGGAAGTCCATACACAGGTGCTCCAATCTCCAGTATATTTTGCTGGAAGGAGTTCCAACATAATATACTGGAAGTTCATACACAGGTGTGTCACACCTCCTTTTTCTACCCCCGAAAGGGGTATATGGAAGTTTTTCCAATTAAAGTGACAAAATCAAAATGGGATAATTTATTTATTCAGAGTCGCCACTTGGGATAATTTATGGTGTCCCAGGTCACCGGTTTGGAATCCCTAGTCGAGGATGTTTGACTCTGTTTTATAGTCCGCGAACATAGAAATCTGAGTAAGGAATTCTGTTATCCCGGGAGAAGGTGTTAGGCATTCCCGGGTTCCGTGGTTTTAGCACGGTCGCTCAACTATTATTATTGGACTTTTATCTGATTTTAAAATATTTTTGAAACCTATGTGCATTTTTATCCCTTTTAAACCGCTTTTAATAATTTATGGAATTATTCTAAAACAAGTTACGATTGTCGTACACTTGTTTGTTTGGTACACATTGCGAATCGTGTCATGGGAACCGTACCCACGATATACAACATGCTTAATTATTAGCATTATTAGTTGTTATGGCCGGGTCACATAAATGTACCCCCGAATTTAGGAATTAAGTATCACAACTACGTCACGGGAACCGTACCCGTAGCTATGATAATTTATTTAATTAGCGCACCTAAAGCAAACTACGAGAGTTCAAAGTATTTTCTACACTAGTTTTGGTATTAATATGAGGGCCATAGATTAGGTGATTAAATGGCACACCTCAACTAA